AAGGTGAGTTTGCTTATTATCACTTTCCTACAGGATTAGCTTTCATTCATTTAAAAGTTAAGGACCCCAAATGTATGACAACCTAATTTCCTTCTTTTAAAGTCAGTACATTCTGAAAGAAGTACCAAGGCACTCAATTGGAAGGGAACAAAGAGCCTAAATTCCTGGCACAGACCTACAGTGGAAAAGGCAAATGAGCTGACCAGGGAGGAGGAGCAGAGACCAAGTGTCATAACATTGCCTAGTCATAATATGGAGCCTGCAATGAAAGCTTAAGGAAGATTTCTGGAACCAAAAATAATCCAGGGTATGATATTTTAATTTTCTTGAAGATTAGTACAGAAGGGAGGGTGGGGAGCAAGCCCGGCCTATCTCCACCTTCCATGCTGTGTTTTCCTTACAGAGGAGGTTGCAGGGAAAGACCAGCACTACTAACAGAAGACCCTGCGGAGTTTTCTCCTGTTCTTACCAGAGATAAAATTTAGAAGTCCTGAAGTGACACACTGACTTCTGCCTCCAAAATGAATTTTACTTGAGGGTTATTCATTTAAGTAGGATGAAAAATATTTAGTTTGGCTAAAATTATTCCATACCTATCACCAACAAAACAGAACTGGATTGGTTCAGCACAAAAATTCTATGCATGTCAGAGCCCTTTTAAAAACAATCCTAACACTCTTGTGACTAAAGGAGCCCAAGTTTACCCTAACTTAGAGAATTTAGCACTTCTGGAAATGAAAATACTTTGTACCTAAGATCCCTTCCTTTCTTCAGTGTCTGAAGTATTTCCTAGCATGGCTCAACAGTGGACTGAATTATGTCTCTCAGGTGATTCCCAAGGTTATTCTTTTCTTCTGAGTATTAAGCCCCTATCCCTCAGTCATTTGAAAACCTGGTACATGAGTTCCTCAAAAGCTTTGTGAAACCACACCCACCCACCCCAACAAGAAAGGACCCCAGAATATAACTCTGGCCACAAACTACAAAGATCAGGTTCTCCAGATGGATTTGGTTTCCCTAGAAGACTTTGTTTCCCATCTCCCATGTTATTGAAGATTTTCTTTATTAATCCCCTGCCCACTAAAAATCAGGAACACCAGTGGGCAGAATGTTCAGCTACCAAGGAAGGTATGCTGCAAAGGCCCCTGGCAAACTGCTTTAAAGGTTTAAAAAAACAAACAAAAAAAACCTTGTGGTCAATAGACATGTGGAATAGCCCCTCCCATCCAATCCAGAAGCTTAACTTGAGAATTCATACCAAATAGAAAATTGGCCCTGAAGTCTCACCCAAGTCACCACATGGCATTTGAACAAAAATGGCTTTCCAATTCTGCTTAGAATCTTCATGCTTCATTGCAGGACTTCAGAAAAAGTATATGGAGAGTCTGATAAAGATTTGACTTTGAAAAAGCTGGAGGAAGAAATGGACAGGGCACGAAATACCACCCTCAGGTAGGGCATGGCTTTACAACATGCACCAATTGTTACAGCACTGCACAAGTTGAAAAATGAAGACATTACTCTCCCATTGCTTTAAGGAATTTCTCTTAGAAAGAAAAAATAAATTTAAAAATGGTGGCTCTTGGGAAAAAATGAAAATTGTGAAATGTAATACCAGAAAGGTTTTGCTTACCAGAAACCGTAGCTTGATCCCCCCTGCCTTGAGTTTACAACTGCCGCCTCCTTTCCTAAGATTCACTTCTCATCCCAGTACCAAAGTACAGGAGCTAAGCAATTGGAAAACGTGACACAGCACGGAATACAGTTTATCCCAAAACCCAAGTGGGAATAAGGGTGGTTGAGAATAAATTCCTAAAGTACCCACTCTCCCCAGATTCTCATTATACAAAGCAACCAAATGCAGGATGCCTAAGGACTGGTTACTGAGCAAAATCGGCACACTTCAGTGTTATTAGGCCCCATTTGTCTCAAGTTACTTTCACAAGCCCTAGTGTCTTTCTCTAGTATGCTCCGACACACATACATACATACACACAAGCTCACACACACCCCCGCAAAAGTCCCCCAGTCTTAGTTTAACTGGTTTTGTACCCCTGACAACTGAAGTGGGGAAAACTTCCAGGTAGCCGCGATGAAAGGTGAAAATAAAAAAACATCAGGCTCTCACTGTAAAAACAAAAAACTAGTTCCCCAAAGAGATTAACAGCTTGAAGATCTAACTTCGGTCAGCTTTTTTCCTTTTAAGATACAGGATATTAAAGATGATAATTTAAAGAAATTAAGTTAGATGTCTTCCTGGATTGCGTGCATATGGAGTCCAGAACGGATACGCTCAGGGGTGGAGTCTCAAGAGGGTGGAGAAAGAAGCAGATTACATCACCTTTCAATGAAGCTCCTCCCCCTTGACCAAGTTTCTAGGGCGGCCCTAGGCTCTGGATGGTAAAGGGGGAAGAAAAACAACAAAGTAGGGACGCCATTTTGTAATGGAGAAAAAATTTTAGAAAGCTATTCCAGCTCTGCCGGTAGCTGGTTACATTTAAAAAAAAAAAACAAACCACTTTTGTAAAAAACAAAACAGTCTCCCATTTTTAACTCTTTGACCTATTTTGAGTAAGAGCACTGTGAAAATACAAATAATTAAAATATTAAATGTAACAATTTTCTGCGGGGAAGAATTGTACTTCCAGCTGAGGTTCAACCTACGACAGACCACCCCCATCCTCCATACAAAGGGAAGGGGGGGGACTTGGACCCCTCTCAACAAATAGGGTTGAGGTAGGACAAGAGAAATATGGTAGACACAACCTGCAACACCGCTTGGAAGACAAAAGGACTAGGAAAGTCGCCATATTGAAGCAGGGAAGAAAAAAACCCTTTTAACGACACAATCTTTTAAAAAACTAGCATTCAATTGCACTAAATGGCTTTTAAAATGATACTCCTGAATTTCACATTTCCCAACCTTTCCACCCTCTAACTATAGTCTCATCAAAAAGTACCAAGTTAAAATGTTAAACTTGCTTTAAAGTAACTTATGCAACAATTACAAAACATTTACGTCCCCATCACCTTGTTATGTACTGGCACTAAAATTATATTTTGTCCTAATTGTCTTGCAATCTTTATTCCTAGATTGCCACTTATTTTAACCACACAAATACACCCCAAGCATATTACATTAAAACTGAGAGGATTTAACCATTTTTAAAGTCATAGCCAGCTAATATTTCTCTGCACATCTCCTTACCCTGCAATCTTTATGTACAGATTGCTTATTAATCTGGCAAATTGGTAGGCACCCTGCTTGTCTCACACACAAAGAAGTGGCACTTCTGGGCCACAAGATCCACCGTCTTTTGTATGTGAGCTCATTAACCCTTTTGAAGACTGCTGCTTAGGGAGGAAGGTAACCATCCCTCCTTATTAAAAGCAAATTTAGCGCTCTGGCAGTCTAGAAATTGGCTGGATTACGAAGGGTTAACCATCAAATTCCTCACTTGCTGGCCCTCCCTCCAACCTCTCCTTGCCTGCAGCAGGGCCAGTTAGAGGTAGGTGGTGGGGGGGAGAGAACTAGACTGTTTAGACCCAAAGGTCCTTTTTAATGGAGAGTAAGTGACCGGCTTGGTCCTTTCTCCAGTTCTCCATTTTGTTCTATGGTCTCTTTTCTTCCTCTCATTTTTGATTTCAAAGGGAAAGGTTGATTTCTTGTTGCAAGGCTCGTTTTTGAAAATTCGACACTTACTATCCAATTTTTTTGCGACGTCAGCACCTCGGGCTCAGGGGGGAGGGGGTTAAAATTTTGGAGAAAAAAAATTAAACCACCAACCAGGACCCAAAACTCTATTTGGGGGGCCTCATTGGATAAAAAAGTCTCTTAAAAAAAACAAAGGCCAACTCAGTATTCATTCCCCCCCCACCCAACTCCATTTAGGGAGGGGGGGTCGTAGAAAAAAAATTCTGAGTGGATTCAAAAAAGTAAACGCTGGATAAGTGAATTTGGGTGGATTTGGGTGGGTTTGATTATTTTTGAAGTTATGTGGTGACGGTCCTTCGGCCACAGATCTCAAGTCCCAAGCAGCGTGGGCTGGTAGGGTGGGCAAGACAGGTGGGAAGGGGCAGAAGACACAAGTGGTTGGGCTGGTGGCTGCTGTTTTCCCTTTCCCCCCGCTCAGGATCCTTTCAAGGGCTTAGATGCTGCTGAGTCTTGTTTCTTTTTTTCCTCGTGGCTGGCCTTCCTCCGAGAAAATTCAAACCTGGGATAAAAGGAACACAAGGGGAAAAATATAATAAAAATGGGCTGCTTTTTATACACCCCAAATTACCATCTTTATTGTCCCACACATCCCAACGTTTAACCCCGAACTTAATATAAGTTGTAGCTCTGAAACAAACCCATGCCAAACCCAACGTCCAGGCCAACGCTCTCAGTACAAATTTAACCCCCAACCGACAAACTTCCGGAACTTACCTCTACACGAACCCGACAATGGCGGCAGTCGGCTCGGGAGGAGTCTTTTATACCAGGACAACACCCAACGCGCCCAAACATGCTAGTGCGTTTCCCCTGTCGCGAGACACAGTGCTCGAGGCGTAAATTCATTGGCCAATCCGTAACACAACTAGCTAACTGATTGGCTACCCTTCCTTCGCCGTCGCTCAGCCCACACTCCCTGCCACATTCGGGACTTCTTTCTACCTCCTTCCGGGGAAGGAAGGAGGCGCGTGCGCGTGACCGGAGAGCCTAGCACCTTCCTTTCCTCTGCCTCCACCACTTCCGCTCTCGAAAACATTTCTTACCCTGGATTGGCAGAATGGGGCCGGCGCATGCGTACTGCGGCAACCTCTGGGCCAAAATCGCCTTCAGAATTGCTTAAAAGGCAAACTCAAAGTATAAGATCTAAGAGTCATAATGATTGGTTCATCAAAAACTTAATTTTGAGGCCGAATTCCACTGTGACGCAGTTGAAATTGGATTTTTTCCTCAGGACCCTCCCCCTTTCTCGCTTCCGTCCTGACGCAAGTGCGTGCTTGCTTGCCGCATTGCAGGCATGTCCTTGGCCCTTCCCAAGTCTTTTTCCGGGAGCATGCGCAGTCACCTTCCCGGTCATTCCTGTTTTGGGTGTACGTCAAGATGGTGGCCTCCGTGTTGAGTACGCTGCTGAGGCTCCTTCCCAACTTTTCGTCTTTCAGGGGTGCCTGCAGAGTTCAGGTAACTCCTTGGAGCACGTTTTTTAGAACCGTTACTTAATTGTACTTTGTCTAGGTCCAGGAGCAGAGACTTCACGAGCTTATTGCCTTCGCTGTTTAGGCAACATTTTGCTCCCAACTTCCTCTTTCCCCTCACCCTTCTTAAATCTTCGTGCATTTTAAAATCCTGAGCCGAGGGGAAAGAGCCAGGCTTAGATTTCATCATCTTCCCATGTTATTATCTTGGCTAAATAATTAGGCGAATGATGCTCCCCACCCCACCCCGACATGCACAACAAACTCTTTAACTATGCAGATGGTGTCTAAATCCATGATGCCCTGGAGTGTCCTTGGGTTTGGGGGCACTAAAGTCTACTGGGAGAGTGGCTCCCAGTAAAGCCAGGATACATTCTCGACGTGGTGACCTGTTTCTCAGCCTTTCATCCCAGTAAATCAGTTTATTGTCAGAGCATACATGAAAGTTTAACTCAGTTCTTTGGATTGAGGTTTTCCTCCAGCTTCATGTGCTTACCATTCTGGAGGTTCTTAGTAGGGCAGGGCAGATTCTTGGTGGGGAAAGGTGGAAGGAAACTTTCTCAGCTTCCACTCCCTAAAGTAGGACTGAAGAGTGGTGACAGGGGTCACTGTGGAATTAATGACAGACCTGGTAGTTTTAAAGCTAGCATAATTAGGACTCTTTTGTTCTTCCCGATGGAATGTTGACCTTCAACTTGTTATAAAGCTGAGTAAGTCAGTGATTCTGGATTGGATTGGAGACTTAACCTGTCCTCTGCACCTCCTTCCTCCCACACATCTCAGCTTCCAAAGAGCTACACATCTTCACTTTTCCTTTCTTCACACTTTTTCCTCCACTAGACTCACTTCATCCCCAAAAAGCATGAATTATCTTATATATGCCAGGTTTTTAAGTTGTCCTCACAAATAAAATTGCCTCTCAGTCACTTGTCCTAGCTAGCCTCCAACATTAGTTTCTTTCAGAATCCATTTTGAGGTATAGGGTGAGTGGTTATTGATGATGTCAGTTTAACCCCACCCCATATGCTACCTTCCACATATGTTTCTGCTATATTCCATTAACACAATGGGCATGGTTTCCCTTCTTCCTGAAGTGTCAGCAGCAAAACAATCCGGTTCCGTCTTTGAATTCATTTTTTTAATTTTCACCCTTTTTTATAGGTTCCCATCCAGGCTCTTTGCACTGAAGCCTCCCTTGAGGAAGATTCTTCGCCCCCAGTGCCCATTTCCCCATATAGTAATGAACCCTGGAAGTATCTGGACTCAGAAGGTACTTGTACAGGAAGGGAGGGTCATGTGGGGTCTGAAGTAAATGGACAGAGACACACCCTCCACCCTAACATGTGTGGTCTTTGATTTCAGAATACAAGTCCCGCTATGGTTCTCGTCCCATATGGGCTGACTATCGTCGCAATCACAAAGGTGGAATACCCCCACAGCGTACTCGAAAGACATGTATTGTGAGTCTCTGAGAGTAGCACATGGATGGGATATGAAGGGGGAGTGGAGACCATGGTGACGGTGGCAACAATACTTTTTCTGACAAGGCTTGGAATATAGTCACCTGCCACCTTCTTCTCTCTACAGCGTAAAAATAAAGTTGCTGGGAACCCCTGCCCTATCTGCCGAGATCACAAGCTGCATATTGACTTTAGGGTAAGGAAAATCTTTTCTCCAGGATGAATATTTGGAGCCTTTTTGAGTGCTAAGGAAATTGTCCCACTCTTCTTCAGATTGGGTGCCCCTACACGCCATTTACACTGGCTTCCTGGCAATATAAAACTGTTCTTTCCTCTAGTCTTTTGTTCCGTACTATGGATTATAGTAAAAAGTTTCATCTCTTATCTGTGAAATTGACAGTATAAATTGGCGGGCAAGAAAAATGCCCATTTCTAATGGGAGAGGGACATCCCCAAATTTGTTTATATCCAACACAATTATTAGCAAGTAGATTGGACTGATTTTTTTCTGAGGTTTTATTTCCTTGTCATGTTGATGTTTAGTGGCATGTTGAGACTTGCAGCTGAAGGGCAGAAATGTGAAGCATGGTATAGAAACTAGTTTTATGAAAAGCCTTCAATTGTGAGAAGGATAGGGAATTCAAAATACTTTATAAAAGTAATGATGGGAAAGTACTCTTCTGAGCTTACAGTGAAGTAGTAGGTGAGAAACTGAATAGCTGGTCATCAGAAAATTTGGAGGGCATTTGTGTATCCATCAAGCAGATGAGAGTGTGTGACTGTTCTCAGACCCCTTCTGACACAAATTGTAGAGGAATTTGACAGGTAAGTTCTCAATTTCAATTGATAGGTTAAATAAAAGGTAATTATAAATAGGTTCATACAGTTTATAATCACATAACAAGGGAGAGAGAAAAATTACAAATTCAATAGTGTGGATGATTCTGCCTGCCATTCCAGCCACACAAGTATACCTGCTTATTCATTGGGTCTCACTTCCTGTGCTTAACTTGCTACCTCAGAGTCCTTCTACAGAATTAACTTAAAATTGATCTGGATCAATTCTGTATATACATTATACACAGCATGCTATTTATATGTTGTACTCATTCATACATGCACATTACAAGATGTACTATATTTTCTGAGTGATTTCTGGGATTGCCAACTGACTCCCTGATTTTTTGCACAAGGGCTGATTTAATTTTTTTTTAAAAGATTTTATTTATCTTTAGAGGGGAAGGGAAGGAGAGAGGGAGAGAAACATCAATGTATGGTTGCCTTTTGTGTGTCCCCTGCTGGGAACTGGCCTGCAGGGAACCAGCCTGCAACCCAGGAATGTGCCCTGACTGGGAATCGAACCGCGATTGCCTGGTTCGCAGGCCCGCGCTCAATCCACTGAGCTACACCAGCCAGGGCCCGATTTAATTTTTTAAACATTTATTTATTTTTAGTGAGAGTGGATGTGTTTCAGGGTGGTATGGCCATACACGTATTTATTTATTTTTAGACGAGGGGGAAGGGAGGGAGAAAGACAGGGAGAGAAACCTTAATGTGTGGTTGCCTCTTGCACGCCCCCTACTGGGGACCTGGCCCACAACCCAGGTATGTGCCCTGACTGGGAATCGAAATGGCAACCCTGTGGTTTGCAGGCTGGCACTCAATCCACTGAGCCACAGTAGTCGGGGCTGCATGAGGGCTGATTTTAGAACGTAACCCCTGGAGAAGAGAATTCTGTATGAGTCTCAGTGACAAGAGTATAGGATGTGCACATGAAATGGTTGAAAGACTAGGAAAGGGGAAGCATTTGCTGGAGTTTTCATGAATGAGTTCAATAAAGGGATGGAGCTAAAACTGGGACACGAGGGAGGTCAGCGTCTGGAGAGACATAGGATTAAGGTCACTTGTGTGGATGTGTAGGGATCGTGCACTTTCAGTCTCCGAAGTTTTCCTGCTGTACCCCGCTCCTTTCTCCACCATTTTCCCCACAGAATGTGAAGCTCTTGGAACAGTTTGTCTGCGCTCACACGGGTATCATCTTCCATGCACCATACACAGGTTAGCTTGTCATCCATGTCCCCACCAGAATAGCTTTTCCTGGGAGCACTTTTGTTTATTCAGTCAGACAACAGGTATTTGGTGGCTTCTACTACAGCATAAAAAGTGTGATTGAACCTTTTGGAAATTTTGGTATAATGGGGTTACTCACATGCTAAAACAGTTACAGGTGCACAAAAGATACAGGCAAGTGTCATTGTAAGCAAACCATCTTATTGTAGTTCTTAAAAGATATGTTCTTAAAAATAAATGGTAGTGATTATTTTATTTCTTTAGGGCTTTTTACTTTTATAAAAAGGCTTTCTCATAAACTGTCCTATGAATTCTTTTATACTGTTGACAATTCAGTTAGATTTCCCAAGTTTGAAATTGTATGTTTAACAATTCAAGATTGTATCTATTTCATAACTATAGCCACAGGCTAAATGTGGCTCACTGCTGTGTCTGTTTGTCTTCATAGTATCTACAACTGCTTCCAGACTATAGTGGCAGAGTTGAGTAGCTGAGACAAAGACTCTAGGCCCTGCATCATGTAAAATATAGAAAAATGTTGCCATCTCTTGCTAAAGCAAGATAAACTTGCCAAGAATAATTTGAATTTAACCATTTTGGGGATGGCAGCATGATTAGTGGAGTTCAGTTTGTCAGGGAGTTTTAGAGTAGTTTTAAACTCCTGTCAAGCTGTAAAAATTTTTTTACCATGCTTGATAGAAGGAGCAGAGTTACCTTTTTTCCTTCCTGCAGGAGTCTGTATGAAGCAACACAAGAAGTTGACCCAGGCCATCCAGAAAGCCAGGGATCATGGTAAGTTTGAGAAGGGGCCCAGAGAAGTTTTGTTAGATGCCAAGAAAGTAAGGGCTGGAGAATGGATATAAATGCTCCTACTTATCTGAGAAGTCAGCATGTAACATATTCCCAAGAATCCCTTCTTTCATCGTTTCACTCTCCTTCATTTCCTCTCCTCAGTGTTATTTTGTCATTGTCCCCCCTTTCACTTTTCTTCCCTCTAATAACTATCAGTCCCACTGCTATAGTTACATCATAGGAGGAATTTTGTATAAATGTCTGGCCCTGAGCTTCATGATACTTTTGTACAAATTAGGAAAAGGTTTTCCTCCATTAAGGCAGATGTAGCTTCATAGCCCTGGTGCAGGGCCGCACAGCTTGGTAGGCAAAAGCTTAGGCAGTATGTCGGCCCACACTTGTCCACTGGCCATTTGGCCTTTGTGCAGTGTATAGCATGCATAAATGTACCCAGTGGCTGTGACTGGTTCCCTCCCACCCTTTACAGGTTATTTTCCTTCTGTCTCTCTTAATCTGAACTGCCCCACCTTGCTTCCTTCACTCTTTTTTTTTTTTTTTAATTCCCTAGGTCTCCTCGGTTACCATATTCCCCAGGTTGAACCTCGGGACCTTGACTTCTGTAACTCTCATGGAGCTGTGAGTGCTACTCCGCCAGCCCCCACTCTGGTTTCAGGTGATCCTTGGTACCCATGGTACAGCTGGAAACAGCCACCAGAGAGCGAGCTGTCCCGCCTTCGTCAGCTGTATCAAGGCTGTCTCAGAGAAGAGAGTGGCCCCCCACCTGAGTCAATGCCTGAGGTGCCACTCTCAACACATGCCTAGAGTCCTCTGTAGGAGCTGTAGACTGGGAAGGGTACGAAGAGATTGGGAGATAATGCCAAGGAATAAAATAATAGGATTCACCCTGAAGAATTTCATCTGTTTTGTGGCCAATGGCAGGTTCAGGGTCAGTGAAAAGACATGATTGTTGTTGAAAGGGGTGAATACATCTGAGGCTGAGGGAGGGCAGTACAGATGTATGCGGGAAACCCTGATCCCCATGTAGTGTAAATAGATGGGTTCAGCCTTCTTTTGCTGTTGCAGACTTAATGCCAACTCAGGTTTTCCAAAATAAAGTTTTGTCTCCTGTCTCTGGACTGAGTCTCAAAGGAATGGGTGCTGCTATGGGGAGAGGAGTGGCCAGGCTGGAGCCAGCCCAACCTGTGACTCCTGGGACCAGGAATCACTTGGAATAAACGGAGTGCCATTCTGTTTCCATTACCTTGGGGGCCCCTAGTGCCTGAGGCAGTGTTTCTTGGTCCTTGGGTCCCAGCTGCTAACGGGGGCTAATGGGTTGGAGAAGAAGCAGCTAGGCAGAAGGAAAATGTATTCATTGCTAGGCACCCCCTGCCTTGGTAATTGGTGGGGAGTGGCATCACTAAGGAGCTACAGGTCCGCCTAGAAGGGCAGGGTCTCCGGGGCAACTTGGAGAGGGCCGAGGGCCGGGTGTGTACTGGCGCCCCTCCCCTCCCGAGAAATGGAAGCCAAGGGGTGTGGTGTCCGGGGAGGACGGAAGTGACGTTGCCTGGGCGGGGCCAGCCCAGCACAATGGACCATGGAGTTCCCGTTCGATGTGGACGCGCTGCTCCCGGAGCGCATCACGGTCCTGGACCAGCACCTGCGGCCACCGGTCCGCAGACCTGGAACCACAACACCAGCCCGGTGACATCTCAAACCCACCTTGATGCCTTTCTCCTGGTTCTAGAAATCTGATCCGGGAACCACGCCCCTGGCCCCCCCCCCCTTTTCACTGAGTAATGACCCACACACCTTTTAAGGTCCTGGATCGACCTGTTGGTGACCTTTGACCCTACATTTAGTGGGATTGATCTACGTTTGGATCTATAACATTTCACCCTTCGGCCAAATATAAGGTCCTGGCCAAAGGATGTGGTTGACCTGCCCTTCCTGCTTCCTCATAACCTCAAGGGAGGAGGGAGTGTGGCACGTTGGAAAGGAGGTGTGATAAAAGTTTGGGTTTCAGAGAGTGGGGTGGAAAAATCAGATTGGAATACTCCAAGGCAAAGTCGGGGAGTCTTTAAGTGCTGAACCTGGACTGGAGTTGTGGTCCAGTTTCCTGGGAGTCCAGAATCCTCATCCATTGATTATCTGACTTCATCTCCTCTCTTATAGTGTTGATGTGCAAGAGCAAATTATGACCATTGTAGATGAATTGGGCAAGGCTTCTGCCAAGGTACTGGGGACACTTCTCTAGGAACAGTAGATAAAGGAGGGCTGGATTCTTTGGAAGGGACCTGCAGAAAGTCTGTCTTCATCTGTCTGTCAGGCCCAGCACCTTCCTGCACCCATCACCAGTGCAACGAGGATGCAGAGTAATCGCCACGTTATGTATGTGCTCAAAGACACTTCTGCTCGACCGTGAGTACTAAACACTTTTCCATCCTGTATCCCTTTCTTCCCAGCCCCTTTCCCTTTTTGACTCTACCTCTCTCAGCCAGCTGCTTCTAGCTTCATTATTTTTCCCATCCTGTAGGGCGGGAAAAGGAGCTGTTATTGGCTTCCTCAAAGTTGGATACAAGAAACTCTTTGTACTGGTGAGTGCTACTGGAAGCTGAGAATTCATATGCCTTGATTACTGAACACAAAAGTGCTAAAGTTTGGGAGGTGGCAACAATTTCTTGGTCCTAAAAGATATTTATTGTTCTTTACCTCTTAGGATGATCATGAGGCTCATAATGAGGTGGAACCCCTTTGCATCCTGGATTTTTACATTCATGAGTCACTTCAACGCCATGGCCATGGGCAAGAACTCTTCCAATATATGTTGCAGGTATCACTTTTTCACCAGTCTGTCTAAAGGGACATCAAAGGCCCCTTTGCTATGAGCCCTGCCAAAGCTTCTGTCTTCCCCTCCCCAATGTCCTCATGTCCCTATTCCCTTCCCAGGCTCTAGAGTTCTGTTGGCATGTTCTCCCCGCACCTTCTTCTACCCTGAGTCTCCTGTTCCCTGCAGAAGGAGCGAGTTGAACCACACCAACTGGCCATTGACCGACCATCACAGAAGCTGCTCAAGTTCCTGAATAAATACTACAACCTGGAGACCACGGTCCCACAGGTTAGAAATTTCAAAGGGTGGATCCCCACTAAGCATGCACATTGAATTTATTATTTCAGGGCAAAGAATTGGCACCTTCCAAGCACTTCTTAGTCCCTGTTATGTAGGATTCATTTTATACAACTAAGTATTTGTTTTTAATTTTTACCATGTCTTATTCTGCAACTATTTTACTCTCATCTATTTTAATTCATTATCATGGCTATTTTTTATACTTAATAATATGTTCCTGCCCCAAACATAGTCAGCTTATTTTTACCTCCTTTTTGCATGGGCCATTACTTATTCAATCAGTATTTCTTAAGGGTTCAGAATAATATACATTTCCTGTCTTTGGGAGCTTTGGTCTAAAATGGGGGAGGTGGTTGGTTTTTAAGTAAATGCAACATAATTATTACTAGTGCTATCCATGTATTCAACAAATATCTATTGAGCATCTGGCACTGCTGTGGGCACTAGGAATACTTTACTCAACAAAACAGGTAAAAGTTTCTGTTCTTGTGGAGCTTATATTTTAGTTGAGCCAAAAATAATAAACAGGTATATCCTATGGTTGATTATAAGTGTTCTGGAAAAATGAGAGCCAGGAAGAGGGCTTGGGAGTGCCACAGTAGGGATGGGAATGTGCGCTGTTGCAAGTTTAAATGGCATAGGCAGGGAAGGCCTCACTGAGGAAGTGTCATTCGAGCAGCAGTGAAAGGAGATGATAATAAGAGCCAAGTAATATCTGGAAGGAAGGCATCCCAGGCAGAGGGAACAGCGAGTGCAAAGACCCTGAAGGAGTGTGCCTGGAAGAGTGAACTGACGGTGTGATTGGAGTACTGTGGATGATGGTGGTGATTAGAGAGAGGTGGTTGATGAAATCAGAGCTATAGGGCAGGAAGGATGTTTTGGGCCTTAAAAGCTATTTCAAAGGCTTTGGCTTTTACTTTCTGTGAAAAAAAGAAAACCATCATAGGAGTTTGAACAGAAGGATGGTATGATCCGACTTTTAACCAGACCACTTTGACTTAAAAATAAGCAAAGGGGGAACAAAGGTGGAAGTAAGCAGACCAGTTAGCAAGCAACAATCCTGATGAAAAATGATGGTGGTTCAGACCAAGATAGTAGCAGTAGAGATGGTAAAGAGTGGTCAGATTTTAAATATTGTGAAGTTAAAGCAAGTCAGGTTTCCTAATAGACTGAAGTAGAGGGGGTGGGGGAGAGTTAAGGTTTCAGGTGATCCCTAAGTTGTTGGCCTGAAAAGTTAGAAGGAGTTACACTAACTAAGATAGTAGGTGGAGCAGCTTTGGAGGAAATAGTAGGACCCATTTTGAATATGTTAAATTAGAGATAAGTCCAGGTTGATAAGTTTGGTATTTTCTTGGAGTTCAGAGAAGTAGTTTGGGATAGAGTGTCTTCAGTGTACATAGGGTGTTGAAAGCAGTGAGACAGGATGATGTCACCAGGGAGTACTAGAGATGTGGTCCAAGGTCTGGAGCCCCTGGGCACTCTTTTAAGAAGTCAGGGCAAAGAAAGAACCAGCAAGTGTGACCAAGGAGTAACTAGTGAAGTAGATGAAAACTTGAAAGTTGACCTGGTAGGCTGGTAAGGAAAGTATTTCCAAGGAGGAAGGAATGGCTTACTGATTCAAATGGTGCTGATTGGTGAGATAAGAAGAGGTCTGGGAAGTGACCATTTGCTTTAGCTGCCTGAGGCCATTTATGATCCTGACCAGCTAGCTGTTTTGGTGCAGCAGTGGGTGAAAGTCTGGATGGAGAGTTAGTTTAGGAAATTGAGAAGCTAGGAGCTGGAGACAGCAAGAATAGGCCGCTCTTATTTTATTGTTTTTTAATTTTTATTTATCAATTTTAGAGAAAAACATCCACTTGTTGTTCCACTTAATTGAAGTTTTACTTACTGGTTGATTTTTTTTTTTTAAGATTTTATTTATTTATCTTTAGAGGGGAAAGGAAGGAGAAAGGGAGAGAAATATCAATGTATGGTTGCCTCTTGTGTGTCCCCTGCTGGGAACTGGCCTGCAACCCAGGCATGTGCCCTGACTGGGAATCGAACCGTGGTTGCTTGGTTCCCAGGCCCGTGCTCAATCCCCTGAGCTACACCAGCCAGGGCTACTGGTTGATTCTTATGTGTGCCTTGACCTGACCAGATATTGAATCCCCAACCTTGGCATATGGGGAGGATGCTCTAACCAACTGAGCTACCTGGCCAGGGCTGAGGCCACTCTTTTAAATGCTGCTTTAAGGGGAACAGAGAAGTAGACAAGAGCTGGAGAGGGAAGTGGATCAAGAGTGGGTTCTGTTCAGTTGGAAGAACAGCCTAAGAATGACTCTCTGTATAGAAAGAAAATCTGATGATGTCAGAGCATGGAGAATTGTTGAAGCAGTGTTGTCGAATGGGTAGGAGGGGCTGAGATTGGCCTCCTTGGATAGGATCATGGACAGTTAATCCATAGTAACATGATTTGACTGATACACTTACAGAGGAGGCATAAGGACATAGTGGTGAGTTGAGGATTGGTAAAGAAAGGTTTGATACATGTTTAATCTTGAAAGGTGAGTGTCCAGAGACACAAGTGGCTGGGTTAAAGTGCATTTTATATGTAAGAACCAGCACGAACAAAGTCAGAGAGGTATTAAACTACCTGTCAGGGCAATACAAACAGTTTGGTGTGGCTGGAATACTGGGTATGTGCTTCAAGGGAAAATAAGGGTGGGTTGGTAGATACTACAGCAGGATAAGGCAGGAAATAGACAGGGCCTGTTCAGAGTGTCCTCACATGTATATTTCTGCAGAGAGTAGTGAGAACAGTGAAGGAACACAGTATTAGGCATCAAACACATTACCCAGGTGACAGGTAATACCAGAGCAGGAGAGAGTATAAATAATAATGGCTAATGTCTCATGAGCTTTGTGTGGTATTGTATTTACATGCACCATTTCAGTTGATCCTTGTACTACATCTCTTTGAGGTAAGTGCTATTGTTGACTCTGTTTTGGGTTTATACAGATGAGCGACTG